TCCACTCCTTTCCCATCTCTTTGTAAGAGCAGCTCCATCACCGAGGAGGAAGGGGTGAGGAGCCGGTCTACAAAAAGTTTGCGACCACTGATCCAAATTTTAACTGGAAAACTTTTGAGATGTGACACCACCAACTTATACAAGAGAAAAACCACAAACTAAGTTATTCACAGCAGGAATGATGAACTGTCCAATTCGAGTTTAAAAATAAAAGACATCACTCACTACATTTGATCTTAACTGTCGTCCTTTTTGTTAAAACGGTGTCCTTTCTCTAGTTTTAGACACATTTTGTAATTTTAACAAACCTGCTATGCATTTCAGGGTACTGCTTGAGTTTAGATAAATTTAAGCATCATCCCCATAAAACACTGTCCCTGATAACTTGCTAGCTACCCTACCGTTAACAACGTTTCATATAGGATGGTTTTTAAAGCTTTCAGCGAAACACTTAAAATATTTTTAACCTAGCCAAAAAACTAAAAGGAAAAAAAAACCTCTTGATAATCCACAAAGGTACGAAAATGACCTTAAGCTTAACCTTAAAGACACACATAAATACAGCAGGCGGGGAATTCCACCACTATTCCGGAGTCTCTCCCGCCCCTCCCGCAGAGGGGTGGCGGTAAAGGGAAATCTCAGAAGCCTGAAGTGTCCGCACGTTTTCTGCATTCTGCAACTCTTAGTCTCTTAGCAGTGCGGCAAAGGCCCTAACCTCCAACCTTCATCCCAAAAGACGCCAGCCAGCATTTCCCGTTGCTGTCCAAACTCAACTGCTGACGGAAGAAAGGAGTGAAAGACAGACCAAGCCGTGTCACTCAGGGGCATCGGACTCGGGACAAGAAACCCTTTTCACTCCCAACTGAAGTCGGAGCAATGGGTGTGTGGCGAAAGAGACTTCTTAGGAAGATTCACTAAGACAAAGGTTTGGGAGTTGGAAAAAAGCCCCAAGCTCGCGAACGGGGACCGAAAGGTCCTAGGCCTGCACGGGAGCAGCGCGCACCGCGCCGCCCACAGTCCGGAAGTATTCGGAGGCCCCACTGCCCCTGGCAGGACCGACCCTCGCCCGACACGTAGGCCCGCGGCCCGAGCCCCTCACCCTGGTGATTGAACAGTCTCCATATCCTGGTGAAGAGAATTCCCATTCTCGGGCAGCGAAGCCCCTCCAGCCACCCGGACCGCCAGGCCTCCCCCGGCTCAGGCTGAGTGCAAGAGAGACGCGCTGGAGCCTCCGCCTCTGCTACTACCGCTCCCGCGCTGGCCGCCGGCCCGCTTCCAGGGAACCGAAGGGAGGGCAAAGCCCAGGCCGCCCTGCCGCGCGCGAGGCCCCGCCGCTGCCGCCGCGGCACTCGCCTGGCTCGCGGACATCGCCGCCGCGTTGTCTGCGTCGAGCCGCGCGGGCCACCGTCCTTCCCCAGTTCCTCGCTGCGTTGGCGGCGACTACGCGGGCGGGGGAGGTGAAAGGGCGGGGCTGGCGGGACTGGGGTGCGCAGGCGCGGGACGGAGGGGCGGAGCCTGGGGGTGGACGCGGGCCTGGCTTTGCTCGTTTGTGCACAGTAGGGATCGTAGGCTGAGGGATCTCACCCGGGGATCGAAGTTGCTGTGCCGGCTGGGGGTTGGAACAGCCGGCTCTCCACTGCCTGCTGCTGAGCCCCCGCCGAGTTACGTTCTCCCTGAATATCCTCCATAGAGCCGTAAAGCAAACATATAATAGTGCCTGTGTCCACCCCTACACACACTCGCACCACCCAAAATCCGTCTTGACCCTCGATGACTGGGTGTTCCAAAGGGTCTTTCTCTGTAGAGCCTCTTACCCCTTCACACTCAGCCGAAGTCAGTGACCTTATCTTGGCAGTCATCTTAAGGCTACCTTGGCACCTTCAAGGGTCTTTCTCTCCAATCTCCCTCCACTTTCAGATCTGTCTTGCCCACCGGACTGCTAGCCACATGCTCTCTTATCTCAATATATAGGAAAGTAATGTTTTAAAACTTCTTTTGGGGTTTATATTAAAAAGTCAAACTTTAGAGAAAACGTGAAGGGAAAGAAAATCTTTAGAGTAATGCATACCACATAATTTATTAATTATGCCTGTATTTACTTAATAAAAATTTTTATAAGCTGTTTTAGAAAAACAATATTGTTAACTTAATCAGCTTGCATTAACTTATATTTCCATTCTTTCACATTGTAGGTAATGCTTTGGCAACTCATTTTGCAAACTCCCACACATCTCTGTTGTTTGTTAAATGCATGTCAGACCATACTAATTTGTGAAGGTAGGGCTGTTTTATAGCTGTGTTAAGGAGATGGTCTCCCAGAGTATTTTTCCAAGTGCCTCTGAAGAAAAAGAAAGTGATGAGTTTACCTGAAACAGCATTGGTTGACTATGTGATCTGTAGGTGAAATACAAATTTGGAACTACTAAAGATGTAATTGGGAATTTGATGAGTGGTGTGAAGCCATGTGTGAAAACACTTCCTCTGAGACTTTAAAGACATATATCAATTCTTATAGTGATGTGCAAAATATCTGGACAGACTTCTGTTTCAAGGCAGGCGAGACCAGGATGGTCTGGATTTAGCCTTTTATTAACAAAATACTGGACACAATACTGGCAAAATTTGTTTTCAAATATTGGAAAATAGACGATCCCTAAAAAAGGAGAAATACATGTTAAGTTTTATTATATCTGAACTTTCTGCCTAAAAGCAGTTCCCAGCCAAATTTAGGAGAAAGCCCAGATAAGAGTAGAGCAATCTCTTGAGTGAAGACACCGATCAGTGTTTTGAGATCAAGGGTGGTAGAATTTGTAAAGCAGAGTAAGTGAAAGAAGAAAACTACACAAAGAAAAACTCTAGAAACCAGCATAGGAAGCCAACAAGTCTTTGGCAACATACAGATCTGTACTTCTGTAGTACAAAACCCCAGAAGGTGGACCAATCACAATTTAGGAGGAAAAAACAAGTAGCAGGGAGGGGTGAAACAAATGATTTAGGAATCACTTGAATTCCCTTCAGCCAGAGAGAACTCTTTAAAATATATAGGGCATTCAGTAGATATCCCAAAGACTTTAGAAGAGGGACTTGAAAGGACCAAAATAATCCACAGTTGCCTGTGGAAACAAGTCCAACACTATAGAGGAATACAAGGTCAAGTCATCAACAACGTAAGGTTTACAATGTCATAAATCCAACAAAAACTTATTGGACATCCAAGGAAACAGGAAAATCTGACCATATCAAAGGAAAAACCATTCTACAGAAACAAAGCCAGGCACAGGGAAGTTAAGTGATTGCCCCATGCTGATAGCTAGTTATTGCTGGATCCAGGCTTTCAAGAGTTAAAGAGTCCACACTCTAACCACTGTGCTAATTGCATGGTCCATGAAAGGACAAGGTGTTTCTTTCCACAGTCCATCTTACTGCTGGAGACAAGAAAGGTGGCTCTGGCATATGGCCATTTGATGTAGTGATAGTAAGCAACTGTAATTCTTCCAGTTGGGAATTTCAATTGTTAGCAGAAATGCTTTGATAACACCTCTCTAATAATAAGATACTGTTCATTTGGGCAACATATGTTGCATTCCAGGCACTATTAAACAATATTTAAAATATGTATTTTAAAGCAAAAATATGTACTTCAGAGAAAGGGGTTAAAATGAGGTTTAGTTTCTTCATCTGTAGTGAAGTTTTAATAATCTATGCCCTACCTACATTCCAGGGTGGTCAGATGAATTAATTGTGAAATAACTTGGCTGTAATATATCACCATGTAATTGTAATGCAGTGATAATAAATACATGTTTCTTTTGAACTTCTTATTCAATATGAGAGAAAAGTCAAATTCCAAACAAGCCATTGTGTAGGCAACGAACCTTGAGTACATGTAATGTCATTATAATCTATATATCATCCATGGAATTCTTTCAGGTACAGGATAGCTCTGTAAACCTCTGATTACAACTACATTAATCATTTAAGGGTGTCTTGTGAGCAATAAGGTTCCTATGGCACACATTAATTCTAATATATTCCACTTCATTTTTGTGTGCGTCTGTATGTGTAACTTAAAAGTTCTTTCTTAATAGAGTATTTTGTTTATGATCACTTATAAGACCTAGTGGAGTATTCAGGAAAGTCAATTAATTGAATCCTTTTGTTTGTTTTGTTTTTAGAGTGACTTTCAATTTTTTTCCTATGAAAGATATACAAATACATCTAATGATTTCTAGTATGTCTTCAGTATGTCTAGAACAATATAAAGGAGAGGTATAACGCTGGTTTCAGTGTTTTTCTTTTATTATATAAAAGAAAAAAGTTAATGCAGTTATTTTGTACACATTTAAATTCTGTAAAACAAATCCATAGAAATTAGGATACTGTATGCATGCACTCTGCATTTTTTTTGTTAAATGTCTTTGTTCACAAAAATAACACATTTTTTTTCTTTAAAGCCACTAAAGCAGAGAACATGCAGCACTGTACACATTTGCATAGTATATTTTACCCAGCATGCCTTGTAGAATGATACACATACCTATATAAATAAAAATAAAAGGGGGATAAATCATTAAAATAAATAACTAAAATTTAAAGAAAGAAAAAACTTATTTGACAAAGTCATTTTTTTCTCACGTTATCACTGTAGATACAGCAATGGTCTGGGAAATCAACAGCCCTCAGAATAGCCGGGAAATCTTTTTACATCATTTTTGTCATACTTATTTTTAGTGTGGTTTACATTAATTTTATTTTTATTCCCTCCCACCACCCCTTCAAACAAATCTAATGGCTTTAAATTACATTTCAAAATAGTGTTCCATACAAAACAAGTTAAAGAATCCTTAACTAATATTTTTTCAATGGGATATCTTTACTGATCATTCTAACTTAAGGCTGTAAAAAATATAAAAATTCAGAACAGCCCTATGAGTGCATCTGCCGTGATATTTTGTAGTTGTTATGGAAGAAGAAATAAGAACAGAAAATATAATATGAGTCTTATCACAAAATAAAATTTAATAAGTTTTATGGACAGGAGCAAAATAAGAGGAATTACATCCACAGATTCAAGGCTATGAAATAAATTGCTGGAAAAATATCAAGCAGCAAGTTAAAAAGATGGTAGATGACATAAATCTGATAAAACATAGAACAAAATCTATATACTTTAAAAAACAGGACTGCCAAATTTAACAGTGGGTTTTGTTGTAAGTTTGTGCTATAACAAATGTGCTTCTTTCTCCTCAATCTATTCATATTATTGGCAAAATATATATATTTTATAATTTTGTACTGTACAATATATATTTTTGCTACATTATTTATTTTTCTACTGCTAATGCAGAAGTAACAACATAGATTTATTTTGGCAATAAAATGCTTTCATTTTAATAACGTCCCAAAAAATATCATAAGGCATATGAAAAATAGTATGCAACAATATAGCATTAAGAATCTCACATCTTTAATACATCTCTTATGCATACAGAATCCACACTGATTTCAATTAAAAGTGTGTGAAAGTGGCATGCAAGCAGGGCAAGAGAAGCCCCTACACATATGAGACACAGTCATTTGTTGAGAAATTTAAGTGTTTGACACATAACCAACATTGAAAAGATAGAGGCCAGCCACTTTCAGTTCTGAAAGTTCTCTTTTAGTTTGCTTTTTAACTCCTTATAATTTTCAAATGAGGAAGTATCACTGCCTTCCTCACACCACTTTAAATTCGTTCATAACATTTTCTACCATCTTTCTGCATTCTTTTCATCCATCAAAAGAAACAAAAGTTTCACATGAAACTGACTTCCCCAAAAGTCAGTGCTATTCATTCTTATTTATATGTTTTTCATGGCAAGTGGAAGTTACAGCCCTTAATAAAGATTATCTGGTGAGATACTTTCTAATCTTCTCATAATATACCTCAATCACATGCAGCATTTGGGATTAAATCATCCACAACTAGACAGAGATGGTTGCTAACAGAGGACGTATTTCATTGGCGAAGGACCCATTTAATTAACGAAGAAACCTTTAAAAAATAACTTTTGAATGCTGAAGCTCTCTGTCCATATAAACCAATTTTACTGTTTTGACTACCTTGATTGCTTAACTCAACAAGAAAAAAGTCATTCTTATTGTTTAATAGCTCCTGTATTGACTGATTTGATCATGATCATAATTTTAAAAAGGAGGACTGTTTTCTTTCTTTCTTTTTCTTTTTTGGTACCAGGGATCGAACTCAGGTCCTCGCGCTTGCCAGGCAGGCACTGTGCCACGGAGCTATGTCCCCTGCCCCAGGAGGACTGTTTTCTGCAGCATAGACACAGCTCAAATAAGTAACTTGGTTACAGTACTGACAGTATTAAAAGATATAGGGAACTCATGAAACAGATTCATCACATAATTTCCTATAAAGTTTTCATTCATTCACAGATGAGTTCTACATAATTAAAAAAACAACAACATGCAACATTGTCATGAAAGACAAAGGCAGAGATATAAAAGGAATAACAGTTACATAAGTATTTATTAAAAATATCGATATGAAGTTTGTTCCAGTTACATGGGAGTCCAAGCTAACACACATCCTTAACCAGGAAGTGTCTCAGCTGTGCTCTTGGTGTCCACAGAAGTTAAGGATTAACAAAATCTGAATTTGCAAACCAACTGTATTAAACAAGTCTCTGGACCTATTCTCTTATAGACTTCGAGCTAGACATTATAAAAGGTAAACTCCTTTTCAGTTTGTTTTGTTCCCTATGACGACTTACTTGTTAAATTAACCATGCCTCATGATAAATATGAACCAATTCAAAGAAAACTTGACTCACATAGAAGAAATGAAAGGGTGACAAGTGCATTTTGGCAAACAGGTTAAAATCTAAAGGGAAAGCTATTTCAACACGCTATGCATTTAGTTTTGCAGCAAAGTTAGCAGTAGTAGTAAGAAATTTGATCACTAGTTCTTGACAATTATTTTTCCCTTTAAAGACAGACTGTCTTCTCTAGAGAAGAGGTAGTATAAATATCCATGTAGGGCAATTTCTATAGTGATATTATGTTGGTTTGTTTTTTTAACAAATACCAAAGTGAAACTGTACAACTAAGAAATATGTTAGCATGCAAATTAAGGTTGCCTAGAAACATTCTTCACTTACATCCTGGGTCTCAACAATATTTTGTGATATGTTCATTTAAAGACTTTACATTTGTAAATCATCTTTTACCATGATTTCCTTCCCTCACTCCCTTTTACTGCCCCACTTTCTATGAGAAATTTTAAGGCCCTCACACAAAAGACAAGTTCAAGTATGCAGGTATGAAAAGAGGTTAACATTCCAAAAATACATTTTGCAAACAACAACTACAATAATTATTTGAGTAAATAGCAAATTACTTAAAGGGAACTTTACTCAGGATTTGTTTCACATTTAAAAATTCATTTCATTAAGGACAAAATGCAATGACTTGTATAGTCACAAAATTAAGACTCTCTTATTAGGACTGACCATTAGTCTAAATTGTTAATTTTGATCTTCTTTCCAATAGAACTATATAAAGATAAGAGAGACTCATCAGTCATTTATAAACATTTCTAAGTGTTGCTTTAAATACTGGAGTAAACAAGATAACATTGTTGATTATAATATTGGAGTCATATTATAGCCTTGAGAATTAACATCAGAACAGACAAATTACATTTCTTTTTTTTTTCCAGGACTACATTTCCACATTGTCATATAAGTTTACATCGTGACAAGTCTACTGAATGAAATTATAGAATTCTAATATGTGGTTTATACTACCAATTCAAACAGCCTCAAAATATTATAAGACTCTTTTTTCTTGTTTATAGCAATTTTAATTTTAAATGAAATTAATAAAAAACAAAATATTTGTGAAGTATGTATTTTCCAAAGGTGCTTGATGTGCTTGACAAAAATAAAACTTTTTATTTAGTATATATCTGGATTTTAGTATCATTTATACAATAAATTCTAAGGCTTTAAAAAAAGGAAGATGCATATCTTATTTATTTGGAGAAGATAAACTTATCACAGAAGGTGAAAGAATATGCCAAATTAAAGTGATATTTTAAATATATCCATCAAGAAAATATACATTATACCCTTTCTAAGATTGTTAGACTTTGGATAAAAATGCAAAGCAAAATGAAGTATGGACATTTGATGATAAATGATGGATTGGTTTGTGCACAGATACCGAATGGGGCTCCCTCTTTATCATCATGACATGGAAGACTAGAAACAAAGTTTTGAGAGACCTTTAAAACCAAGTGGCTTTTTAAAAGTTAAGAAAATGGTAATCTTTTTAATAAATGTAAATGCTGTTTCAGCTACCTGCCATAAAATGTAAATATCTTAAAGTAGTTAAATGACCAAATTGCTAATGCTACTACAGAAAAAGCTGAACAGCTGTCTAGTCTAAATTTATACACCTTGGTGCACTCTGCAATTAAATACTTTAATGCGCACAAACAAGAAACCAGTAAAGCATATAGAAACATGTTTTGGCTAATGCTTTTTTCTCATGCAAATATGTGCTGTACATGTAATAAGTTTATTTTTGTTTGCTGGAAAAAGCTCTTCATGTTCTATCAAAGTATTCAGGAATGGCAGGTTATGTGTTTATTAAACAGCCTAATAGATACAGCTCTTTTAAATGTTTTAACTGAAAGTTCTGCAAACTTCACTAGATGACAAAAGAACTTCACAAGCCAGTATCACATATTAACTTTTAAAATTTACTGAGCCCATGTTTAATTGTATCAAATGTTTGAGATGACTTATAGAATTATAGGTATTCTCATTTTCAGCTAAAGATTCATAAGGGGGTACATACAGTCAACATGAGGGGAGGCATGTGATGAAGGTCCAAGATATGTATAAGTAATCAATAATTGAAATTTATTTTCTTGATCAGGAAAATAATTGAACTAGTGCATTCTTCAAGAACTTAGATATTAAAAAACTTGGGGAAAAAGAAGATAGTATGAAATTAATTAATCAAGGGTTTTTTGGTGGGGATGGAACCCAGGGCCTACAAATATGCTTAAAAAGCACTCTACAACTGAGCTACACCTCAGCCTGAAAATTAATTGTTCTCGTTTTCAAAAATTGGCTTCATGAGATGCAGAAAAAGACTTTTATGCCTGGTCCTACTAGGGTTTTAGAAAATGCATGCATTGTGGAATTTTAGAAACAAAGATCTTTCATAAATACATTTTATATTTTATAAAAGGGTCATTTGAATAATTTCTTGGATTATAGTGAATCTAAGGCGTCCCTGATAATATAAGACAGAGGCCATCAATTCATAATTATAGTCATTGGAAAAACTGAACTATTGGTAAGTGATGAGCAGTGTCCATAGAGATATAAGTCAGCTCCATCTCCAAAATCTTCATAATTTTTCATTAAGAATGCTGTAATTTTAGTGAACAAATATCTTCTGAATCTAGGACTTTATTTTTTTTTTTTTTACTGCAAGCTTTTAAATTCATCATTTGTTTGAACTTTTCCCGTTAGTCATTTTGTAAAAAACAACTTTTAACACCTAATTTGAATGTGTCCATGGAAAATAAAAATTCTTAGCATAATTTTAAAAAAATTATTGATAGTCTAGAAATGTTCAGATATTCAAAGACAGAGAGTGAAGCAATGGAAAGATACTCAGCTGTGCTGGCAGGAAATACTGACTCCGTGTGTTTAGTGGATAGAAGAGAGAGGTTTAGCTGTGCACTCAGAGGATCTGTACAACATCCTTGCTATCTGACTTCACATCCCTGGATGTGTGCAGTTGTGCTCATATTGATTAAAGAAGAAACACACATCTTATTTTCCATTTCTTATAACCAGCTTTTCTTGGCCTTCTCATTACTATTCTCTCTTACAACTGAAAGTTTTTGAAAATTTTTTTCTACTTTCCTTTTCTTTTTTTACAACTTCAAACATGCTAACAGTAGTGACTGAACAGAAAGCAAAACATTTTGAATACAACAGCTGTGCCAGGAAAGAAATAAAAATATTAAAATCCGAGGAGACTATATAATTTCTACATTAAAATCTGAGATTTTTTTTTGGCACTATCAATACATTTGGTAAGTTTGAAAAGCCATTCTGGCAACACTTACATATATTAAAATGTTTATACATCTAACTTTAAGTGTAAATTTAGCTTCCAGCAAATAAATACCATACCTGGTTTTGGCTTCTAGTTGTATTTTAATTTTCTTATTAATTGTGTTGTTTTCCAATTTTTCAATGGATTCCAACATGCTCAAGTAGACTTTCTAGTCAATTCACCCAAATTCCAACAGGAATTGGTTTATAAATTGGTTCCAACTGGAACTGGTCATTTGGAATTTCCAGCATGGGAAATTATTTTATATGTGCCTTGATAAGTACCCTAGATTACAAATTGATGTGTCTAGATCTATGAAGAAAACAAAAGGTACTGTTATCATGTAAATGTTGCACTTAAAAATATCTCTATGATTGGGCATCTAATATCCATCTAGATTCAAGGGCATAATGTACTTCTTTTTTTTTTTTTTTTGCCCTACTTAGCATCAAATGACAGCAGCCCATAAACACAGTAAATACTGTGCTGTGCTTCTGCCAAGTTAAAAGGACTGGTTTATCCTAGCAGTGCTATGGCAAACAGCCAACAGATGAATATTTTTTGTTTTTTGTTTTGGCAGCCTCAAAGCCTGTGTCGGGAGTCATGGCTGCATCCCCCAGGCGAGCCTCTGTTCCTGTGGGGTTTGTAAGTGTCCTGGTATGAGTCAGGGTAATCTTCTTCCACAAGAGGGTAATGATCTCGGCTATGCTGGGAACTTGAGGACAAGCGGTTCCTACTCTTCCGAGCCCTCTCATTGTGGTAATTCTCATCAGAGGTCATGAGACTTCGTCTTTCAATTGGAGAGTTCTCTGTGGAGTGGTTGCTGTGCCTCATTCGCTGACTCTAAAAATACCAGATAGTTCATTGATTAAATAATGTCAGCTTCATTCATCTAAACATGTAAATGTATGTACAATAATAGGATCTGTACAATGAGATGCTAAATATATGCCTTAGGAAAGCGTTTTCATGCACAAATGGTCTCCTCAAAATATCTCTGGTCTTAGATATTTGGGATACAACATGCAAAGTTCCCACACTGTTTATACTTTATGAATTTAATTACATAGTGCTGCATGACTATGTTTCTCATTAAAATATGGACTTGAAAGTTGACTCTTACATGGAACTTAGTATATTTAGGAAGAATAAGTAATTCCATTTCTATTGTAAAATTGAGTATTATTTTACTATTGGGAAATAAGGCTCAGAATAGCATCTATTATTTTATTCCTCTCTTAAACTGATAAAATCTTTCTCCTTCTAAAGCCACACAACTTCACCCTGATCTAGCTGAATGTTCCTTATACCTTTTTCAAGTATTTTAATTATTTGTGCTACCCTTAAAATAATGCATTTGTTTCTATAAGCCACATAAAAGTCTCTCAGCAACATTGTTTTCAAAGAAGTAAATGGTACTTATGAAGCTAACTGATGCCTTTATAAGTCTTTGTTTCAATTGAAATGTCCTGCAAAAATAATCTTCAGATATAAACCAAGTTTGACTAACATTAACTGAAATCAATATCTTAAGATACTTACTCAGAAAGTGTTATCCAACATTTTTTCTCACTATGGGAAACATGTATCTGCATTTGTCTACTGGCTTAAGTGGGGCATCTGAGTTAAAGAACAGGATCCTGATGAAATCATGGGCCCAGACACATCTTCTGCAAAGTACATTCAGCTTTGCACAGAAGAAAAACTCATCCAATGGATCACAGACTGTGCCATTAACCTCAGCCAGGTGTCTATCAATTTAGTGCCTATGGTTACTGGGAGAAGTAGGCCACAGGATAAAGGGCACATTAACTCGTTAGTGAAACTGGGAGAACTAGGTAGATGTCTCAGGGCTGACGAGTCAAGAGTATTGCATTCATAAATGAGGCACATTTCATCTCCTCCTACATCACAGAAACTTACTGCTTCATGGATTCATTCCTTACCCGACTATGTACAATTCAGAGCCAACCCAAATTAGTCAACAGAAATGCTTTACTCAGATCAGCACTCAGGAAGGAACGCAAAGCAAGAAAATGTCCTGGTGCATATACACATACAGTACACTCATACATTCCCTATATTCATTTTTAGCCTCAAAAGCAATTTATGTTTTTTGTGAGCTCTTCTGCTTACAAAAATGCAATTTTGGAGCAGAGTAATACAGTTCTAATGGCATTTCAGAGAGTGCCATTTATCTCAGAGTTAACGCCACATGATCTACAATTATGGCTATCATTATAAACCACTGAAACAAAGTTAGTAAGGACATAAGAGGGCTCAGCTGACTACATGCTCTTCAGTCAGCTGAGGGTCTGGCCACATTCCAGCAGCTGCTTGATAAGTGATAAATAATAATTAATGCAAAAGGCAAAGATTATTTAGTGTCTTATTGCCTCTGGCTCCCTATATCTAGTTCTGAGTGCAGCACCACAGCAGCAGAAGAGAGAAATTCTGGATCCTGGGCAGTCTCCAGGTTCCCTAAAGACATTCACCATAGCCACTGACCAAGGTGGGTCCCTGGACACCACCTCCCACCCCGAAAACTCAGGGATCTGTCATTGTTTCCAAACAGAGAAGTTCTCCTCATGTTCACATTCTGTCTTGTGGAAAGGAGATGGCAGGCCCAGAAGCCTGTGAGGCAGGGATAGTTCAGGACAGTCAAAAGGCTTATCTCTTCCCAAGTGTCTCACTAGCTGGCCACAGTACCTGATATTTACATGATTATATAATCCTTAAGAAGTGCCATGCAGAAGTCATGGACAGTTGTACCGAGTAGGCATTAAGTCTACCAGGGATTAGTTTATTTAAGTAAAATCCATTATAAATTCACAGACAGCAAAATTTTCCAGCAAGGCTCACTCTCTGGGTAGCTTTCTCTAGAACAAATCATAATGAGGTAATTGTTTAAATTTTTAATAAACATAATGGGTCCCATCTTCAGACTAAGGACAACTATAGTCTTCAATTTAATCAACATTCTTATAGAATCTTAAAAGTAAGGTTGTAAAAACATGAGTGAAAAGGTGACAATACCTGTAACCCAGAAATTGCAGTGGGATATGGTGAGAGTGCAGTGGAGCCCAAGTTCCTCCCTAGCAGCGGGGTCATGGGGGTGCTGCTGGTGGTGTGCGTGGCACGCCAGTATGCCTCAAGGTACTCTCCCAGATGTTCACACGCATCCTCGAGCTGATTCTCGTCCAGTATAACATCAAACATTTCCTGAAGATGACAAGAAAATTCATTATACTTCCAGTTTCAGTTTTAGGTGATGAAACTTAAAATTTCACGTAAGGCAGATAACAGCATTTCTCATATCTATGTAGCACTTAACATCAAATTTGAAGGGCTAACTGGGTACGTTCTAAAGCTAAAGTCCATTGAAGAGTTATAGTTATTCATGTCCAAATGTGAATATTTACATAAAAATAACCTGGTTAAAAGTTTGGATCTTTCATTATTTAGAAAGAAAAAGATGACGTAAATGTGAACACTAAATAGGTAAACGTGTTAAATAGGTAAAATATAGTGAAAACTTATGTACTCACATTTTTGTCTATATATCACTAAAGAGTAGAATTCTTCTCATTTGAGAATATCAGAGAAGAAAGTTCAGGTCACAATGTTCTGGGCAACAACCTTACCATTGGAATAAACATTGTAATGTTGAAGAGAGTAACATTTACTTAGATAATTCTAAGAATGTGAGAATGACATTATCAAACTCATGATAAAACATGAAGGAAAGAAAGTTTAAGATCCATACTAGAAAGCCACATTACAGTGATTGGTGCTACCATAAGATTGTGAAATGGTTCAAAAAGAATGGGGGTGTTTAATTGAGGAAGGAGTATTTGGTATCTGTGTTTCTGTCAGCAAGGACTTTGTTCAGCACCTGTCCTGTAATCAGGAAGTTGTTCTTGAGCCCTAAAGGGAGCAAAGCGGCCCTTCTGCTATAGCAGTGGGACTTCGGAACACAGACAGGATATACCCAAGACAAGATATTCCTGGGAAGGACAGTCAGAAAAATGTGGCATCTCAAAAGAGAAGAGCTATTCCACAGTTAGCACTCCCCATTAAAGCAGGTGAATGGTTATGGATCATTAAGTGGCTAGATTCAAATGCCTTCTCTCTCCCATTATCCACGTGCTTTTATGAGCTCATTTTACCAAACTAAGAATTTCCCAGTAGTGATTCAAATACATGGTTACTGTTATCATCAGTGTCATTGCTGGATTAAAGATTAAATGGCAACTAGAAGACACAGAGTTGGTGGTACCTAAGCTGATTCATTCTCTTCAGTGCTTAGAAGCAGAAGTCACCATGGAAACTCTCCCCCAACATTTACTATTCATCTATTTTTGGCCCTGGGGATTGAACCTAAGAACTCAAGCATGCCAGGCACACGCTCTGCCTTAGAACTACACTTTCAGTCTTACCCTTTAAATCTTTCATTGCATCAATCTTTTTTTTTAGTACCGGGGATCGAACTCGGGTCCTTGTGCTTGCGCAGCAGGCAGTGAAACCACTGAGCTAAATCCCCGGCCCTGCATCAATCTTTACTGACATTTTGGACCCTAAATTGGAAAGCAGTTTGAAGGTCTTTGGAACAAGACTAGGAAAATAATAAGTGACTTCAGTCCAAACTGACTCATGTTTGAGAAAACTCAGCCAATTCAATTTATGTAGAAAAATGCCACCCCCTCCCAAACGTTTATTAGCAAAATGCCTGGTATTTTAAAGTATTTTATTCATTCATTTTATTATTTTATTTTATTATTTTATTCATTCATTTTATTATTATTTTATCAATTTATTCACTTATTCGGTATTTATTTTGTGCAGGGCACTGTGGGTATGAGGCAAAAAACCCCTCACTCATCCTATGCCCAAGCAGCACACAATTTGGTAGGAGAGAAAAGTACTAAAATCCATAATAATCCATGTTACATCAGGATCTCATTCAGAATTAAGACAGACCAAACCAGCTAACATTTGGAGCTGTCATCCAGCACTGCTGCAGCTTACAGTTCTGAATTTAGAAGAAGGCCCAGAGAGGCTTGTGAAAATTGAACTCATAAAGAAGGGGAAATTATGAGTAAGTCAAAGAATTCCATCTGTAGAGGAAAGAAAATAAAACAGATAGAAGAGAAGCAGAGCCAAAATGGAAGAGCAAAAACCATATGGGCCATGAGAAAAAAAAAAAGAGCTAGTTCCTAGAGCATCAGTCAATTCATATCCTTACCCTAAGTCCTCTTTTTCCCACTGAGGTAACCCAAGAGAGTTTCTTGTCACTTGTCACCAAAAGGCTCTTTCCTTAATATAAACTTTCAGCAGTCACAAAGATAGTCTAAGAACTTTCCATAATGCTCTGACACAAATAGGGGCATTGCAGTACTGACTTGAGCAGGGCAGGAATGGCTACATCCCTTAAAACTTCCACAGACATAGATGAAACAGAAAGAAAAAAAGAGGAAACCAGGCAGCACTAAACAAAGGACTCCTCTCAGCTTCTGCAAGGCTCCAACTTTTCACACAAAATTCTAGACCATATGTGATTTAAAGCCTGTTGTTTATATTATTTTATTTGTTCATTATAAAATTAGATCACATAGGTCTCAATTGTATAATGTGAGTTTGGTTAATTCCAAATACATCATTTTCTTGCTTTTCTAAAGCCCAAGTTAAAGAACTTCAGGGATTCCTGGACAGAAAAATTCCTGACAATGACAGCCAGGATTACAGAGACCAAAGAAGGCATAACTGGAAAAGCAGCACCCACTGCAGAATACTGCTTGTGTAAGGATTCTATCTACTTGGCTATTCTACAAGTTATATTGTCACCACTGTAGATGCAACTAAATACATTTAATTACAAGGAATTTTAATAAAGTGCTTCTCTTTGCCATTATGTAAAATCTGTATACATCAGCACAAGGCTGTTTGCTTTAAGCCTGATTATTACTTGCAAACTACGCTTTTGCACTGCTAAAAGACAGCTATATATGATGGGAGATGATTTGAAACTGCTTTTAGGCTTTCAATAGCACAGAGAAAGCAAATTTCCACTTCTGAATGAGTACTGACATATGCACCTTATTTTCAACAAGGAAGAATTTCACAGACTGTGTATCTGTGACAATTTTTCTGTTTAAAAAATAACACAGCTGAATACATCCAGAGTGCTGGAAAGTCAGGATAAGGGGAATTTAAGAAATCATACAGCAAATTGAATGCAAAGCAACCCAATAAATTATGAAACTAGGTTTGCTAATTTTTTATAATTTAAAAGTTCATATGTAATCAGCTTCTTGCTATGTAATCGATGGGGCCCATAGCCTGGGACAGGGAGACAGAGCTTCTTGATCACAAAAGTCGCAGGCGGTGAACAGTGATACCAAGCCCTTCGTGGAGCAGTTTTCAAAGCACTGCCACAGAGGACACCTCTGACATTCTAGGAAGGGGTAGGCTATTCTGCTGAAGAAGGCGGAAATGGCATGCTTGCCAAAGTAAACACGGAGTGAACAGAGGAATCAAAATAAACCGTCAAAAATTCAGGCACAGGGCTGGGGATTTAGCTCAGCGGTTCCGGCAACTGCCTTGCAAGTGCAAGGTCCTGTGTTCAATCCCCAGTACAAAAAAAAGAAAAAATTCGGGCACAGTAGGGCCCCTTTTCTGGGCTAGCTCTTTCAGGAAAATTAAAAACTAAAATATGGTATTAAACAAGCCAGAGTGAAAACATGCCCTAGTTCATCCAGGGGTCCAGTGATCTACACCAGTGGTGAAGAAAGGGAAGGAAGGAAAGACTGAAGCTGCTAATAAGAAAATGAAGAAGATTTATGAAATCTTTCAGAAGAAATTTATAAGTATTCGACTATCTGCCCTGCTCTCCATGCACAGAGTAAGGTGTGACAATATTTCCTAGGGAAGCCACTTGAGTCAAGATGGCCAGCCATCCTGGTTTGCTGGGGACTGCGTGTTTCTGGGGACTTTCAGTGCTAGAATGTGAAAATCCTGAGCAAATTTTACTATTCAGTAAAATAAAGTGGCACAATGTCACAACATGCAATGCTAATTATAAAACAGCCAACCAACATTTCCTTCATGTCAAAACTGCATTCTTTATACATATTTTTTTTTACAAAATGTGTTAGTTTACTAACTCTACTTCTGTCATACATTGGCAACCTCTTTAATATCTAGAGACTAGATATTATAAAATTAGGACTCATGGGGCCAGTATATACACTACATATACAGCATAGCAAAGTTAAGTGAAATGCAGGTAACATAAGAGCAATGTCAGCTGAAATTTTCTACCATACACTTAACAAAACACCCTTCACAATTTCTTCCATCCCACCTTCTTCAAGCCAGTGACCAAGTACAGAAAGCATACTGTTCAGAGGTGGTTTAACGGTTCTATTTGCAAACATAGTATTTCCTATCTGTTTATAAAAGCTATCTACAAAGTGTTATTCTTCTACCACTACTTTTAAATGTATCAAGCTCTTCTACATATCTAGGACTAGATTTTTCATATAAGAAATTGTCTGCTATTGTACGGCACTGATAAAATTACACATATGGTAATGGTTATAATCTGAGGTATCTTCTACATATGACAATTTTGGCTTCACTTCTTTCTCTCTGCTTTCAGCCTAGTGGACAAGTACAGGACTATGTCATGTTAGAGGTGGCTGAATCCAAAATTCATTTACAGAGGACAAGCTTTTCTGTGTATTTCAACACAGGTGTACAAAATGTGCTAACTTTACTACTTTGTCATACACTGGCAACGTCTGTAACATTTAGGGACTAGATGTTGCAAAATTTGGACTTGTCTGTTACATACACTATATACACAGCAAAACAAAACCCACAAAACAGACAGAAAAATTATGTCTCAAAATGTCCAAGTACAAATGCACTAACATAATACCTTTGCAATTGCTTCCCTCCTACCTCCTCCAAACCACTGAACAAGTACAGACAGGACCATACTGCTCAAGAGGTGGTTTAATCATTCCATTCCCATCAACATTTCATATGAACTTTAGCAAGATATTTACAAAGTGATATTTTACTACCTCTACATTTAACATACGTTGGGCACTTACAAACATCTAGATAAGACTAGATGTTTCAAGTAAGGACTCAATTTGTCCATTATATATACACAGCAGTCTTGATTAAACTGCATACATGTAACAATAGTTGAA